CCCCAAAACCCCAAAACCCCAAAACCCCTCTGATATTTATTCATATTGGATTCCTAAATAAATACAAATGGCTAGTTTATATAAAGATTCCAGCGCGGAGGAAGGAACTAATATAAGAGGGCAAGGATTCTGATACCTTCAAGCGTTGCATTGAAAAACTCTCAAGTATACCTATAGCCGACTTAGAAACAGAGATATCTTCAGACAATCAATTTCGATGACTTATAGAGGCAAGGACACTTTTAGTAATATAGTTGGTTGAGCTTCTACGTTCCTAATTGTGACTGTGCTGTTGGGATATAGCATCATTTTATTCAGAACAATGTTGATGAGAACTGATGTGAGCTGGAACCTCAATTCAATACAAGTAGATGTGACTAAAGAAAGCTCCCCACTTATATGGACAGAAGAAGACCCTCAATTCAAGTTTCTATGGGAAGTCTTCCAAATTCCTCCCAATCTTGATCCAAATACCGATCCTTTTCACTACATAAGTACTAAGTATGAACATGAAAGAGTTAAGCATGTTAACTACACTCCTACAAATCTCTTAGCTCCTGATCTTGACATTAGGAGGGTAACTAATATTCCAATCAACGACTGAAGCACTACATTCCCAACAACAGATGATTATAAGATGAACCAAACGATGTCTGTTAGACAATGACCCGTCCTCACAGGATTTGGACTCCATGGACGCTGGGGTGTTGGAGAAGATCATTCAGGCATTGTTTTTGATTTTTCTACATGTCCATTTGGAAATAACTATACTAATTGTGCTGATCAGGCTGAAATAGACCAGTATATTGATAAGATTCCAATCACAATGCATTTAAATAATAGATATGTAGATCTCAATGATATTGAGAATCCAATCAAACGATATTATGATAAAGAGTATAGGTTTCAATTCAGAAAAGATAAAATTCAGAGAGTTCATATGAAGCTAAGAAAGCATGAAGTAATTCTTGAAGATTCATTCTTTCCATTTCCTTGGAACTCTGAACCTATATATTTCAATAGTATCGAGGATTTTGAAATCTTTGAAGAAGATAGTTTCTCAGGACTGATTCGGATTGAAATAGTAAGGGATAGTCAAGTTGACCAACACCGCAGAAGAGTCCTCAACTTCCTCGAAGTCACTGGAATTCTTGGTGGTATCTTCGAACTCTTCGAAGTCTGCTTCGGTGTTCTCATCGGCTTCTACTCATCATTCATGTTCAGACGCAAAATCTACAAAGACATTCTGAAGTGCGAACGCAAGTTCCAGGCAATGCAGAAGAGCATCAGTGAGCTCGAGAAAAAGGTCTCCAGCAGCCACAACAGCAGAGGAGATAGCAGGCAACAGCAAAGCAAAGACCTCCAAGAGGGTCAGATGAAGGCCACTCTCAAAGCAGCAGACATGCCTCCAGCAGCAGAGCCAAACAGTGAAGTGTTCAAACGTGGAGCTGCAGTCATTAAGGACCACGAAGAAGCCAAGGCCAGACAACTTGGTCATGAAGACGAAAAGCAGCACCAAGGTAAGCTTCCGTGGTTGCCATGATGTAGACTTGTGTATAACATATTTTAGATGAGCATGAACGCATGCAAAGACACAGACTCAGATCGGAGCTTGACGACCACCCGTTCAGGATGTTCGAGCTCGTTGGCAATCATCGTAAATCCCAAATTATCAATGATGAAGAAGAGGACAGCAGCTCCGATGCATTTGCAGCCAGCGCCAAGGAACTGGGCAACGAAATGGCGAAGTTTTAGCAACTCGCTAGACTGATTGAACATTGTTTACAGCATCAAGACTTTGAGGGCTCAGACTGCATATTTATTGTCAAAAGACCCAGATTACTCAGAAGCATTGAAGGCTAACCCAAGTCTGGAAGTAGACTTTGAAAATATTTACGCTAGTAACCAAAGGCATAAAGTATCCCCAGCCTATGAAAACCCAGACCAGATAAGAAACCCTAAAAACGATCAGCCAAACTCAATGATTCAGTTAGGAAAGTCACTTCCAGAAAGAGCTCATCCCTATATGGCTCTCTGATCTCAGAAGCCATAATTATTTTGCTATGCATGATTTAATGATATAATTTCAATACTTGGTTTTAGGTGTGGGGTTTTGGGGTTTTGGGGTTTTGGGG